ACTATCATCATCGGATGAGCAACTAGATGAATCAATATCCGTGAGGCAATCACCGACGATGTATGCCTTCCCACTTTTTTTCTTCTTGTTGAAGTCCTTCTTCTTGCCATCTCTCTTCTTATATGGCTTGTTTTTCTTCTTCTCATCTTCTTCTTCATTACTTGAATCATCTTTCTTGGCCTTGTACTTGTTCTTAAACTTATCTTTCTTGGACTTTGTGCATTGGTGTGCTAGATGACCAAGTTCTCCACAATTGTAGCAATCCATCTCTGAGATTGGCTTCCTTCTAGAGCTAGTGAAGAATTTTTTTTTCTTGCCACCAAACTTGATGCCACTCTTGTTAAGCTTCTTTAGCATTTTGGCGGTTCTTCTCACCATGAGAGCAAGACTTGCATCATTAATTTCATCATCACTTAAACTCTCATACTCAAGCCTTGCTTTGTCCTTCTCTTGGTTAGCTTTGAATGCTAAGTCTTTTTCTTTCTTCTTAGTAGAGGATGAGCCATCTTATGGTGTGATGTACATGTACATCTCATAAGCATTGATCTTTCCCAAGATTTGTGTTGGTGTAGCGGTGGAAAGATCACCTTGATGAAGCATGGTCACAATATGCCCATATTTATCAATGGAGAGAACACTTAAGATTTTTCTTACAACATCGGATGGTTGCATTTGAGTGAGTCCAAGCCCATTGACTTCCTCTATAAGAACATTCAAACGTGAGTACATCTCATTAGCATATTCTTTAGGAAGCATCTCAAAAGAGTTAAGCTTTTTCATGACGAGATGATAGCGTTCCTCATGCTCACTCTTTGTTCCCTCATGGAGCGCACAAATGTCCGACCATAGTCCATGGGCGTCTTTGTGGTTCCTCACCCGGTTGAACACATATTTACAAAGGCCTCTAAATATGGTGTTTCTAGCCTTTGCATTTCATTTTTCGTAATTCACCTCATCGCCTTGTAGGTGTGTGGCATCCCGAGGTTTTGGCAAACCTTGTGAGGCGGCTCTAAGTATTCCAACATTTAGAGCTTCTAGATATGCCTCCATGCGGATTTTCCAATATAGAAAATCATCCCCCTCAAAGATAGGAGGAGGACCATCCCCGTGAGACATCTTTCTCTAGACGGTTAAGTCTAAATACGTGAGCATGAGGCTCTGATACTAATTGAAAGGATCAAGATGTCCAAGAGGGGGGGGTGAATTGGGCTAATTTTAAATTTCTTTGCAATAATTAAACCCTACGGTTAGCCCAATTAACCCCTTGTGCCTAGAAAGTGTTTCTATTGATCTACCGCACAAAAGTTTAGCAACCTATATTCCAATCCTACTCTAGCATATCAACTCTATGAATGTAAATAACAAGAATTGAATTTCTCAAAGTAAATGCTCAAATTAAAGAGAGAAGGAGGAACGCGACAATGTTTTGCTGAGGTATCGGAGATTCGCCACTCTCCACTAGTCCTCGTTGAAGCACCCGCGTAAGGGTGTAGCTCCCCCTTGATTCGCGCAAGGATCAAGTGCTCTCTACGGGTTGATTCTTCGACACTCCGTCGTGGTGAATCACCCACAACCGCTCACAAATTGAGTTGGGTCATCCACAAGCTCCGCCGGATGATCACCATGCTCCCAATCACCACCAAGCCGTCTAGGTGATGGTGATCACCAAGAGTAACAAGCACGAACTCTCACTTGACCACGACAAGCCTAATGAGAAGGGTGGATGCACACTTTGCTACCCTTGCTTTCACTAATGATGGCTCTCTTTGGGATTCTCAAATTTCAATCATCTCACTAGGACCTTGCTCTTCTTGGCACTCTCAAGGGTGTTTCTCAGCTATTGGAATGAGCAAAAGTACCCCCTCACACGAATGGAGGAAGTATTTATACACCCGGTTGAAAAGTGAACCGTTATGTGCCTCTGTGGGGTGATAGGATGCTCCGGTCAAATTGATCGGACGCTCCGGTCAGTTCTCCCAAACTCCAATGTTTAAGTTGTGACCGGACGCGTCCGGTCACAATTTTCCTCTCTAGAACCTTACTGGAGTCGACCGGACGCTGGCACCCAGCGTTCGGTCGCTCACCTCTCAGCGTCCGGTCACACCAGACGATTTCACCTTGATCAAATGAACTGATTGAACTCTGCGCCAGCGTCCGGTCACACCGAAACTAGTGTCCGGTCAGTATTTAACCCTCCATTCACTTCTAACTCTCAATCATATGTGAATGAAGTTTGCTCCAATTAATCAAAGGGCTTTTTAGGAGCTACCTAGTGCTAGATTTAGCAAGTGTGCACCACACCTAACTCACTAGACTTACCTAGGTCAAGCTACCCGTCCATACCCCCTTAATAGTACGGCTAAAGGAAAAATAAAGTCCTAAACTACTCTAAGTGTCTCTTCAACACCAAACGACACTTAGAACTAGTCAATTCTTAACCTTGTCGTCCATCCTTTGAAAACCAAAACGATTTCCATCGTAGGGGCATGACCACCATGATTGCCCAATCGATCTCCATTACCATGACCTAACTTAATTGTCTCTGCAAAACACATGTTAGTTATAGTAATCACGTATTGTCATTAATCACTGAAACCCAACTAGGGGCCTAGATGCTTTCAAAGTGATTGTTTTGTAGTTCAATAGGATGCAAGACGTGACTTGGACGAAGGTGACGTGATGATCCGATGATCAACACCACAAGCAAGACCTTAGAAGCACAAGAGAAGACCAAAGATATCAAGCAAAGTCCAAGCACGAAGATAGAAACCAAGCCGTACGCAAGATCGTAAAGAAACGAGCTCACAAAGGTGACCGGACGCTGGCGAAAAGTGACCGGACGCTCCGATCAAGAGGTTCGGCAATAGCAGGCGTTAGCAGTAGCGGTCGGACGCTGGCGGCAAATCGACCGGATGTAGAACTACAGCGTCCGATCGAGTACACAAAGGTTCCAGAGCGGCGAAATTACGACCGAGACGCGTCCGATGGCATGTGACCGGACGCTGGCAGTGTCCGATCAGTTGATCGCGGCTCTAACGGTCGGGACGACCGGACGCGTCCGGTCAGGACGTGATCAGTGTCTGGTCAGTAGCAGAAAAGTGAAATTTCGTCCCCAACGGCTACTTCATCAGTGGGGCTTATAAATAGACCCCCAACCAGGCATTTACAGTGTGTGGAGCTTAGAAAACATACCAAGGGTGTTGATACACTATTTTAGTGATCTCCACTTGCATAGTGCTTAGTGATTCATTTTGTGATTAGCGTAAGTGCTTTGTGAAGTGTTTAGGTTGATTAGACCACCGCTTATACGCTTGCTCTAGGTTTAGGCCTAGTGTTTAGTGAGGTTTGCATACCTCTTACCACTCGGTGCTTGCGCGCACCATTGTTGTACATCGGAGGGGCTTGTAGTCTTGCGAGATCACACCAACCGCGTTTGTGGTGTGGCCGCCACCATGTACCGGAGGGAACAAGGCCCGTGGCGTTTCGGCTAGAAGCTTGATAGTGAAAACGGCGGGGAGCATCTGGGAGAGGCTTGCCGGAAGGCACGTCGAAAACTCACTCACGCGTGGGGAAGGCCCGAGGCTATCTACGGACTTACTCGACCGGGAGCTTGGCCCTTGTGAGGGATTCCTTGCGAGGGGCTTCAACGAGGACTAGGGAGAAGCTTGCGTGCTTCTCGATACCTCGGTAAAAATACCGGAGTCGCCGACGGGAGTTTGCATATCTCTACCTTGCTCTTTAGCTTCCGTATTTATATTGATTGTATTACTTCTTTTGCGGTAAAAATAGCAACACAGTAGCAAAATCGTAGCTGCATATTTAGATAGTTTATCTTTTGTATAGGTTTTGCTAAGTTTAGAAAAAATGATTATAGTTTAGAGTTAAAATTTTAAGTTACCTAATTCACCTCCTCTTAGACGTCACGTTCCCTACAGCCACAAAGAATCTTTGTACAATTCATACGGCACAACAAGCGGCATACCAAACTCATCAATATGCACTTAAAACATTGAACGAACAGGGCATGCTACGCCGATAGACATGGAATCTGACACCACAAGCGCTGCAGCCGTCCCCCAGTCAACCGACGATGAAACAACCCAAAAGGGGATATAACCACCAAAGCAGCTAAAACTAACAAGACCATCGACCCAATTCCTCAAAGAAGTTGTTGTCAGGAACTCATGGGGAGGGAGTAGAAAACGACAGACATACGTATAGATGTCATGGGACTAGTACTAGAAGCTACAAAATGCCTACTATATACATAGGCCATCACCACATCCAGGTTCTCCAACCCAGCAGATAGCCAGAGAGACGGGGAACCCGACCGTATCGACGTCGGGATGAAGCTCTCCTTCGGATCGCCTTTGTTTCTACTTCTATCTAAGATATTATATTTGAAGGGGAATACGGATAGTATCAGATACCGGAGGAACGCTCGAGATACGGATACGGTATCGGATTGTTAAACAAACAACGGATTCGGATATAGCAGTATCCCTAGAAATACAAAAATTCAAAAAAAAAAAAGAAGAAGTAGTAGACCGTGAGCCTTTCAGCACCGGCCCAAATCCGTCACGCTTTGGGCCTGTATAAGCTTTTGAGGATTTGTTGCGCTCCTGCACCGAAGCCACCAACTTTTATTACGTAACGCAATCATCCGTCGCCCTTTTCGCTACGCTTCCCCCGCATCCTCCCAGGCCTGGCACACCGCCTCGCAGGTTTGGTACCCGTAGCCAATCCATGCAACCATTTCTTTACCCATTTCGCCACGCATGCTACACAGGCCGGCAGCTCTCGGCTAGGGGGGCGAGGCAGCCCAGGAGGCGTACCGAGAGAGAGAGAGAGAGAGAGGAGCTTCTGCTAAAAAGAGTCGGCCTCGGCCTCGAAAGCGACCCAAATATCGCAGCAACAAATTTGCATTTTCCCCACCTCCACCCCCACTTTCCCTTCCGTCCAGCCCCCTCTCCTCGGCGCGATCCAAATCCGGTCCGGCGATGGACGGCGGGGGGCAGCCCCCGGACACGGAGATGACGGACGCCGGCGCGGGCGGCGGGGGGCAGCCGCCGGCGCCGGCGCAGCAGCAGCCAGCGGTCGGGGCCGGGATGATGGAGAACATCCAGGCGACGCTCAGCCACGGCGGCCGCTTCATCCAGTACAACATCTTCGGCAACGTGTTCGAGGTCACCGCCAAGTACAAGCCCCCCATCCTCCCCATCGGCAAGGGCGCCTACGGCATCGTCTGGTCCGCCCGCTCCCCCCCCCTCTCCCTCGCCTCCGATTCGCATCGACTGGCCTTTCTGATTTGTGATTTCATGGTCTGCTGCCCAGCTCGTCGCTCAACTCCGAGACGGCGGAGCAGGTGGCCATCAAGAAGATCGCCAACGCCTTCGACAACAAGATCGACGCCAAGCGCACGCTCCGCGAGATCAAGCTGCTCCGCCACATGGACCACGAGAATGTCAGTCGCTTGAGCCACCCCCGATCCATCCACCTCTCCTGTCCAACGATCCCAGAATTTCCTTTTCTTTTTTTTTTCATGTTCTCTAGCGAGGAGCATATCGGAGATTCTCGTTAAATGCTCGCCTGTTGGTCGCATTAAATTTGGGGAGGTTGGGGTTAGTTGCTTAAATGATTGAGTTCGTTCGCTACAGCTCGCCTAGCCTAAGGGAACTTTCCCTCCCTCGTCTTGGCTGTGACTGGGAGGTGAAGTACAGGAATAGCAATCGTAGCCATGCCTTTAAGGGAGCCAACCACCTTTTGAGATGCTATTCATTGTGTTCTTGAAGAACTTGAGGGCAGAAATGACGAGACAACCTGGAGCAGCAGCGCATGTTGCCCCTGCCTGCTGATGTCAAAAGTGAGTGAGTCACTTGAGGACCAACCTAGTGCTGGCCTTTTTGCTAGATCATCCCAATCCTATGGGAATGTAGTGGAGTGAATACTCGGTTGGTAGGGGACTAGGATCTTATGTTAGTAGTATTGGAAATACTTCTGTAGACTTTTTTGTATATTTGCTGACCTTGCACCCTTAATGTGAAAGACTAAGTCACAGGATTCCCAATTTTATTGGATTTGACCAGTATTTGTATATGGTTGAAGAATCATTTTAGCTTGTCAGAAGGGACGGCGGTGTCGGCAAGTGAAAGACAGTTATGAGATTCACCTGCCGTTACAGCTTGGAACCTGTTGCACGTTCGGAAGTGAGCTGAACCAAGTTGGATTATGATTAGTAGATTTGTAACGGCTAGATCAGTATCCTGATAAATTAAGTAACATGACATGAGCCATATGCACGGATGTTGTGTCTTCCTGTTCCTTTCTGTTGTTCGACGGTTATGCATGTAGAAGCGAATCTTCGGAATTCAGATTAGGCAAGGTGCGCTTAGTAGTTAATTAATGTACTTGATTGCGACCGTGTGCATTCTTGGTCAGCTACTTATACCTCGAATTTCCTTAATGGTAGCTAAAGTCATACTATTTGTGCTCTTCCGCATACCAGTTCGCCAAAAAAACATTATGTGGCATGTGGAGAAATATGCAACCTAGCATGCAGATTTCCTGCAAAAGGTAAAAAAACTATATACACTTGTGAATCTATAAACGTGCTAAAACTACATAGAAAAGGGCAAACTGCATGTTTTCTCTACTTTGTCTATAGTAACTAGTAACGTACAACACAAGTAAAAAATTAAGGATAGAAGGCTCTGGTTTTTGCTTTATACAAGCTTTTACCACATTGCAGAAGTGCCCACTTCGTTAGCTGTATGCCTTTGGCAATACTACAGGGTGGCTTAAATGAAGTGTGTGCCTTTAAGCTTGCCCTGAGCTGTTGACTTAAGTTCAAGTAACTTGAGCTTGAGGTGAGATACCTTTGAGACATGGAATGAAGTTCAGTGTCTCTTTGAACATTTTTTGTGCTACGGTTGCATTCTGCACTGTAAAAGTAAAAACATTTGAATCATTGCATTGTTGCTACCATAGTTAAAATTTGTTGGAACAGTTTTAAGTATGGCTTCTAGCTACAAGGATATTATTTCTGACACAAATTCATTTTTCGGTGCAGATTGTTGCAATACGGGATATCATACCTCCTCCACAAAGGGAGGCATTCAATGATGTGTATATTGCGTATGAATTGATGGATACTGATCTGCATCAAATTATTCGTTCAAATCAAGCTTTGTCAGAGGAGCACTGTCAGGTACTTGTTTCGTTCAATCTAAGAACTGCACTATTACTATCAGATATTTCTTTAGCTGTTGTGTGGGATTAGCTCGAAATCTGTTATGTTCTTCTGTTTCTATGAATTCCTTGTTTATCTAGGATTGTTCAAATTTAATTTATCCTGAGATGTCAGGATATTTGAATATTGACCTAGAACGTAAAGTATCAATCACTGTGGATACATATTTGGGGGTTCTCACATATTACTGAGAATTTTATTTGTACAAATCAGATCCAATGTTTTGGATGGAGTCTCCTATTGCTCAGTGGCCAGTGCTTTCAATGTACCACAAGTAGGCAGCCTTATTAAAACCCATATATGCTTATATGCAGTATATCAAGGCTCATTTGATATATGACCTCAAGAGAATCTTTTGTAGCCCATTAGAAAATGGCACAGTATGCAGCACAATTATACAATTAACCTAGCTGTCAAACAAATGTGTCAAAGCTAATAATTGTTGGAAGATGGCATAGCCATCCCTTTCTCATGCTTGTAAGCTAGTAAGCTACAGATGCATTGGCGTTGCTAAGATGATATGAAATTATGAATCCTTGAACATAATTGTATTTCTGATACCTCATACTATGATTTTGTATCTTGCTTGTTGTGACTCTTGTTTCATACTAGCAAACTCTTTCTTATTTGACACTATACATGTGGCTTTCTTGCCAGCCATATCCATGTGACGTTCTTGCATGGAAAGGGTTGGTTCGGGATTGTTCCTGAGAATTCATGCTGTGTCCTTCCTAGCTTTTGTTATCTGTGCTAAATGATACATTTCTGTATTTTGAGTGGGATTGCAGCACGTTAACCTATTTCCTTGTCCTAGTTATCATATCACAACTCCCCATACATGTTTTGTGAAACTGTTTGGTTATATTGATTTTCCTTTGCAGTATTTTCTTTATCAAATTCTTCGTGGCTTGAAGTATATACATTCAGCAAATGTTCTTCACCGTGACTTGAAGCCTAGTAATCTTCTTTTGAATGCAAACTGTGACCTCAAGATATGTGATTTTGGGCTTGCTCGCACCACCTCAGAAACTGATTTTATGACTGAATATGTTGTCACAAGATGGTATAGAGCACCAGAGCTTTTGTTGAACTCCTCTGAATATACTGATGCTATTGATGTGTGGTCTGTGGGCTGTATATTTATGGAACTGATGGACCGAAAACCCCTGTTTCCTGGAAGAGACCATGTCCATCAGCTACGTCTACTAATGGAGGTGAGTTCTTAGTGATGATACCATATTTTTCTTTGGTGTCATTGTTGCTTTGCCTACCCCAACTTGCTTGGGACTAAAAGGCTATGTTGTTGTTGTTGTTGTTGTCATTGTTGCTTTGTCATAGTAGTGTGCTAGTGATGAGCTAGTTGTGGATACTGGATACATCAATCCACTCACTCTAAGCCATCCACCCACCCAGCTTCGCTCATACTAAGACTTGCTCATTTATCTATTACTCACGTGCAAATACAGTAATAGTTGGGTTGTTGAAAGGCTGGTATTGGTCATATAGGGAAAAAGTGACATGCAGAAATCATCCCATTAATGATGATCCAAGTAGGAGTTCCACTGTTGTAGCATATCTATATGCTTATATCATAATGATCTCAAGTTTTGTGTTTTAAAAAAAAGGTGAAACAGAGTTGGGCAATATTTTAGCATGGGCAATGATTCTGCTGCGTCTATTCATTTTCTAGTTGTTACTTCGCTGGTTCCGAATTATACACTATAAATATGTGTTGTGATGGTTTTGTGTTGTCTTAAAGAATAAACATCATATGAGTTATCTCACGATTGACCATGTGTTAAAACATAGGAGAATGTAAAGAATAATAATAAACATAATAGAACTCCTTAGATACTTTCTGTTTTTTGTATACCAGCTGTCAAGTAAATCTAGTCACGCTGATTCAGATCCATAAGCAATTCTTTATAGCACAGTAGAGGATTTAATAGCTTTTATATTGCACACATTGTTTCGTGTTTGATTTCTCACCCTATTTCTTTCATGCAGCTCATTGGGACACCGAATGAGGCTGATCTTGATTTTGTAAATGAAAATGCAAGAAGATATATCCGCCAACTACCCCGGCATGCTAGACAGTCCTTCCCTGAAAAATTTCCACATGTTCAACCTTTAGCAATCGACCTGGTGGAAAAGATGCTGACTTTTGATCCTAGACAGAGAATAACTGGTAATACTATTGAAGCCTTGTCCATCTTTTGTTTCTATAGATTTTTGAAGTTCTCTTTATTTCAAAATGTTGTTTTTGCCATAAATAGTCATGATTCCACTTTGAAAATAGCAAGTGAACTTATAGCACCATGCCTTGGTTTAGAAATGGTAGTACAACAATTATAGGCAGCATGCGACAATTGCATTTGAATGTGTGCACATCCACTCCTAGTCACGACTGCTGCATGGTCTGACCTCTGAAGGGGGGAATCATTTTTGCCAGATGGTGTTGCAACTGTTGAAAACACATGTCTTTTATTAACACACTATTCTTCCTAATTTGTTGATTTTTGTCACCAAGTTTGAAGTTGCTGAATGCTCTGTTTTCTTTTCTCCTTTTCTTTTACCAGTTGAAGGCGCACTTGCACACCCTTACTTGGCATCACTTCATGACATAAGTGATGAGCCAGTCTGCTCAATGCCCTTCAGCTTTGACTTCGAGCAGCATGCATTGTCGGAAGAACAAATGAAGGATCTGATCTACCAAGAGGCTCTTGCATTCAACCCTGATTACCAGTAGCCGAAGTTCAATTTCAGCCGGTGATTTGTCTTCATTGGCATGGAGATTTTTTTCCCCACCTGATGTCACTGCAAAAAGTCACCAACTCCGATTGCTAGCTGGCATGGAGATTTTTTTCCCCACCTGATGTCACTGCAAAAAGTCACCAACTCCGATTGCTAGCTGTAAATAATTGCCTTACCAGAAGATCCTCCATTCCTCGTTGATTAAAAAAAGCTGGAGACGGTGTCATTCAAGGGTAGAAAAGAGCGAGCTTGTGAAGGTCAAATTTCTGCGTAGCTATGGATTCTTGTGCTTACAATATGTTGTTTTTAATCAGACTTTACTTTTCTTCTTAAAACCTTTTGGATGTTGTCTGTAAGGGAGGTAGTTCATGAACGATGGCTGCCTGAATTCAGTGGCTGTCGTCAAAGTTAACATTTCTGGTCGACTTAAGAATTCTTGTTTATCGACTTAATTGTTTAAAAAAGACCTGTAATTCCAATGTTGCCTCCGAGACAGCGAGAGCGACGGCTGAGTGTGACCCTATGATGGCGATTGGCGACTGAGAGCCTGGAATCAGGTTTCAGCCTGGGACCCTGGTTCACGGGCTATGCTACGTAGCCTGCGATTTGTCCAAGGGCATGTTTAGATGTCGAAATTTTTTAGTAAAATAATATTGTAGTATTTTTGTTGTTATTTGATAATTAGTGTCTAATTATAGTCTAATTAGATAAAGATTTGTTTTATGTATTTCGTCTAAACTGTATAATTAGTTTTATTTTTTATCTATATTTAATGCTTTTATACATACGTCCAAAGATTCGATATGACGGAGAATTTGAAAAATTTTACAAAATGGGAGGCTAAACTGGGCCCAAAGGGCTTGTTGCTCGGAAACTAGCCTGAATCGCATCGAAATCGTCACCGGATTGGGTGCGAACAATCGGTTGCCTATATTTCATTACCAACTTCGAATGCGTCACTGTTTGTCGTTGCATGAGGAAATAAGAAATAACATGCCGTTTGACAAGAGTTTAAAAATAACGTCCGGCCCCAGCTTCCACCCACCTTGAAAAGTTAACTGGTTCTAGCCATAACTCCACTCAGCCTGTAAAGTTATATGGTTAACAGGAGGGACAGCCCACGCCCTACTGCACGCATAGGTGGAGACCGTCCTTGCCCCCTGCCGCCATCCCCATCCACTTCCTGCACTCGTCACCGCACCGCGTTCCATCCCCCGCTTCATATGCGCATGCACAACGGCTAGTGAATCGCATTACAACATGTGTAACACTAGATCTATTTTTCAACACCGGATGAAACATTTGCAATATACGTCCGAAACGACTAAAACACTTGCAATATACGTCTGAAACGCTAGAAAAACACGTGTGTACCATTGCAAAATATATGCAACATCTAGATAAAACACTTGAACATATGTTTGAAGCAACTGAAAACACTTAAAAACATACGCTTGCAAACATGCATATATATATATATATATATATATATATATATATATATATATATATATATATATATATATATATATATGCAACATCCAGATCTACTTTTGCAACATCCAGATGAAACACTTGCAACATACATCTGAAATAGATGAAACAATCAGAACATACACTTACGTGTATATCCATTGCAACATGTAAAACATCTCGATCTATTGTTGCAACACCAGTATAAAACATTGCAACATACCTCTAAAACATCTGAAACACTTGAAACATACGTTTGCAACACACGGATTCAGCATAATATCTCCTTGCTATTTGGGAATTGAGGCTCGTCGGCGCGTGGAGTTCACCAGTGTAGAGCTCACCAGTGGCGCGAAGCTCGCCGCTCCGGTGGAGAAGGACGCGGCAAGTCCGGTGGAGAAGACCGCGGTGGGTCCACGCGCTCTAAAAAGACCGCAGCGGGCGAGAGGCACAGTGGAGAGGGAGGAAGACAAGCTGCTGCACTTTGGCGCGGTGGGGATGTCGGCTAGCGAAGCGGAGGGGCGGTGGAAAGGGAGGCGCGGTGGAGAGTGTAGTCGCCGAGGCGGCGCGGGTGTGCGGCGGCACTGTGTGAGGTGAGATTTTTTAACGGTTGGAGGCGAGGACGAGTGGATGAGCATACAAGAATTACCATCGAGGGCGGCGCTTGGGCTAGCGCGAGCAGCCCACCATCGGGAGCGTTCGGCACTGACGAACGCCCTGCCCCTAGAATTTCCTCGGAAAAAAAATGCCATTTGGCAATGACACCAAATAAAATGACACCAAATAAGGTAAAACTAACTGAAGCGGCCGATATGGAAGGAAAGAAACAGTGTTCGCTTCGCTGAAACACTGTTCCGACACTATTCTAGCTAAAAAAACAGCTGAAAAGTACGATTATAAGACCAGCGAACGGGGCCATTCGTGTGTTTCGAAAGCAAAGCTTACGGTCCAACAAGTGGTGCACCGAATACAAGGCTGGGGCAAGACGCAAGAATGTGGAGCTACGCTGGAAACAAGGATTTAGGACTTCTCAATTCTCATGCCGTCTTCACAGCTCAAGGATGGAGCCGTGAACGTCTAACAGCCTGTAGACTGTGGACGGTTCTGTTGCCCTCTATATTAAGTATAAATTAATCTCTTGTAAAACAGGGGTGGCATGGGTTTTGGTTAGCTCAACCCATGTAAAAATCGGCGGGGCGCACAGCTTGCGCCATCTAGGAACCTTGTAATGTAATTTTCTCATCTCTTATTAATGAAAGCCGATGCCGGATCTTTAAAAAAAAAACTGAAGCGGCCGATACAGGTTTATTCTGTCCCAGTCCCAATTGTATCATTGCACAGTGAATGCTGACAACCAGAATTTGGTCATGGTTTATTTTGCTAGCCACAGAAAATTTAAGCAAATGGATTGCTAAATGCTACTGCTATAGATTGGCAGGAAGACATGGCCGTGACTCCTGCTGCTTGATGCTGTCCGCAACGTGCGCGATAACACCAGCACCAGCATTGTGAAGCCACTCGTTCTTGACCTGCATAGATACCATGAATTTGGATGGCTGTTCTTTAGAACAAAAGAAATTGGAGGAACTGGAGAGAAAACATCACTCCAGAAGAAGAAAGCATACATGTATGTTGTTGTGAGCAGAGTAAGGCCAGAATGATGAATGGAAGTTGACGTCCACCTTCTTCCAACCAACCTTCTGCAGGCTATGGATCACCTCCTCTGTTCAAGAATCAGTGTCCACAATTCATTCAAGAAACGAGCAAATCCGATGTACAAACATGGAGTGCAAAATTGCTACTTACCCTCCATCATTTGGTGGTATTCCTCGGTATTTTCTCTGTTTGGCGTTCGCTGTGCAGCTTCTTTAGCTCTGGCAGCCTTGGAAGGGAAATGGGGGCCCTCTGATGATTCGGGCGAACAGTATTCAACATTCACAATGTGCTTATAGCCATCCAGTGAACGATGTGAGGGCTGCAGATAGAGGAAATGCAAGGTCTATTCAAATGACATTCAATTTAGTGTGACAAGTAAGCTGTCAATGGAATCAATTATGGAGATATTGCTACCTTTACAAGATCCTTTTCTCTCCTCAATGAAGATGTTCGCCAGCCGACCATGTCTGGGATAAGATCAAGAAAACAAAGAACAAGAATAGAAGCAGAAATAGCTTGTGGGGAGATAACCATTATTGGATAGCATGCTGCAGATCAAGTTCAAGAAATGATTTGGCAAGGAAGGATACGGTCATATGAAACGTTAGCATACAGGACACGGTTCTTAAAAGCTGCTAAAGCTAATCTGTTAAACAATGAAAAGGAACATTATGTTTCAGTAAGAGCAACTTGCCTATAAATGGTTCTGTTCTTCACTTACGTGTACTTTTTGTCATCACAGTCAGATGCCATTTGTAACAGGAGAGGCGGCTTACTAGGATCACCATCAGTGAGAAACAGTTGAGCACCAGTGCGCCCAACAATTAAAGGAGCCAAAGGTGCAGCAAGTTTTTCTAGAATTGATAGACCTTGAAGAAACGGAAGCTGGTAATTAGGGAAAAAACATATAAGCATGTATCAATGGAATTGCTCAATAACAGTAACAGGTCCCAATAAGTTCGTCATTTTTCCCCAAAGTTATAGATGTTAGTTGGTTTTGACCCCTTCAGCAATGATATAACATGCTATATCATCCCAGCTTGTAAAAATCATACCATGCAACTTCAAAATCTACATGAAGGTCTTATATGAACATAGAGAGTTTGTTTTCCCAGAATCGGATAATGAGAAGTATATTTTGCAAAAATAATCCGAAACATTTTGGTGACGCACCTGATTTCTCCCTCTAACCCCAAGGTGTGGGGTTGCTAAGGTAATAAAATTAATTGGCTGTAATCCAGCAATTGAACCTAATCCTGAAGTGCATCTTGATTTTGCTGACCCTCTTGTTGTAGGAACAATTAGTGCACTACTTTGTCCTGCATTCTTTGTTTCCACTGAGTGGAGTACTGCAATAGCATATCTAGCAAACAAACCACCCAAAGAATGTGCTAGGAAGGAAATCTTTCTCAAGCTGGACATCTTGTTAACCACATCCAAGACCTGTTCCCATAGGCACAATTATCAGAGCTTCTAAGCAGTTCATTAGGATCAAGGAACAGGAGATATCAATCTCCAACAAGGAGAATGCTTGAAACCTTTTTCTATGACAAACTTCAAAGAACGTACTTCATTTGCTAACCTTCTTCCAGCTATATCAATCCCATCAAAGGTTTTGGTGTAGTTGTTCGATGAACTAGCTGTAGACAAAAATGTTTACACATTTACAGCTCACTCAATAAACAAACTATTCTCAACTGTAAAACTGTGTAGCTAAAGTAATAATGTGGATGCCTTATTCACCTTGTAGGTACACTTTTTTAACGTCCATTTAGTTCATAAACCGGTATTGTAGAAAGCTAGAACGAATGGTTAGGTAATAAGTAGTATTAATGTTAATGAATGAAGAATTCAAATGCTAGCATGCTTTACCATATATGAAAAAATTATCACCCAACCGCCTCTTCAGAACTGCTTCCCCATATGTCCAGTCTTTGGGGCTGCAACCATAGTATAATAAAGTAATTTTTTCAGTAAAATTCAAGAAAGAATGCAGAAAAGTACAGTTTGGTTAAAGAAGACAAGTAATTTGTGTCACGCTAATGTGTGTAGACTTTGAGCAGTTAAACCTCTTTCAAATCTACGGTAACAACTTAGTACAGGAGAAATAGGATCTAATCAGTTACCTTGCCATGATACCATGGACAAGAATAAGGAGATGGTCTGGTTCTTGCTTGCTCTTGGATGCATCCATCACTGAACACACAACAGTAATTCCCCTTGATACTGGATGAAGATACAGGTTTCCGGCAGATTGCAATCCTGCAAAAATCATGTAGTACTGTAGTGATGAGTTCCAGTATATTTCACTGAAAGCATGTGAAAATATAATAACAAGGCAACTGTGAACTGCATCCATGTTTGCCTTGAATTTGGACTATCCGTGCCTCAGTTTCGAGTTTGGTTAAAAACTGAAGCCCCCTCATTGTTCTAACTGAAGTCCATAGGATCCTAATGTCTGATCCTATTCAGATTCATAAATTGGATTTAACTTCCAAGATCAATCGAGGATGCATTATGCTTGGATTCCAAATGGTTTGAGAACCATCAGAATTCTCATGTACTACTGGCGCCCTCTGTGATGCCAATTTGATTCAGGAGCTTTGCTGAAACTTCCTGATCTCATTGCTTAACTGAAACTTCCTGATAAAATATTTTTTTCGTCTATCGAGCTACCCAACCAGTCTGAATTGACTTAGCACGAGTATATGGAATTACAGTACTTCGCAGCTACGAAATTGTCTCGCACTAAGCTTTCCTAGAGAAAGCACAGTGCCTCCAATCTGTCACGGAATGACGGAAGGCCAATTTCCTAGGAAGGAGGAAGCGATCAAGAATAAATTAACCTGACGGGCTGCCGCTTCCGCTCCAAGAAGAACAGGCGGGGGCCGAGGCCGGTGCGCGAGAGCGCCGAGAGGCATAGGAAGCGGCTGTTATAGGAGTGGCTGAGCCTGAGCGAGAGGCCATGGGGAAGAGAGCAAGCCGTGGACGCCACCATCCCCTCTCGCGGTGGCGTCGTCGAAGGCGGCGAACGGCATGGGACAAAAAAACCGCGCCGGAATCAGTGCCGGCGTGGGGCTGATTTGGCCGGGTGAGGTAGCCGTGGCGTTGGGTTGGCCGTTGCCGTCGGCGTCACGGCAGCCATGGGATTCGGCGGGGTATTCCAGCCCGGATGGCCTGTCGGGAGGGAGGTCGGGCCGCTTGGCCCATGCCGTCATGCGTGTGGGCTGAGTCCGGTCCGGGAGCCTGGGTAATTTACCGGCCTGCCACGCAGCTGAAAGAGCATGGCAGTCAAAATTTTGCTCTGACCAAAGTTTATCGAAGACACACAAGTAGTATATATTATCTAATAAAACACAGAGTTAGTTTCATTAATTTATCCGTGAAAATGTCTTATGGTGTTTATTTGAACTTGTAGGTGTAACATATTTTTTCAAAAAAATCAATCAATACTAGAGAAGTTTGATTCAGAAAAAAAAAATAGACCTATAATTTGAAACCGATGCGGCTGTCTATTGATATTTTGGACCGTTTGGCTTGGGAACCGATGGCAAAACCGTGTACATACTCCAGGCAGTTTGATTAACGTATGGCTTTACGGAAACGCTAGGACTGGGCGTTCGGAACGTTGTCTTTTTATCGGATGTCTCATCCACCGTTAACTCTCCACTCTCGAGTTATTAATAAAAAAAACAGACCCTGCACTCGTCCACGTGGCCCCACCTACGTCACCCGCGAGCAGCAGAGCGGGACGGACCCCATTCTGGCCCGTGTCGCCCTCGGTCACACCCGCGCACTGCACAGTGAGCCCGACAGGCTAGTCACTCGTTCGCTCGCTTTCGGACTTGCGCCTCCCGTCGCGGTCGTGCTCCATCCGCCTCTCCTCGCCCTGTCGAGGTCCGTGTCATCGACAAGTTCCACACCGGCAACCTCCACGTCATTCTGCGGCATCGAGCTCCGCGTCGACGAGACTCCATTCATCCCAGCAGCAAGCAGATGTTACGCTGAAAGCGCATGTTGCAATAGTATGTTTCAAGTGTTTCAGATATTTTAGAGATATGTTGCGGTGTTGTATATCGATGTTGCAACACTAGATCGGAATGCTGCACATGTTGTAATAGTTATACACGTATGTTTTAAGTGCATTTTCCCAATGTTTCATCTGTTCTAAAGGAATATTGCAAGTGTTTTATCTGAATGTTGCATATACATACATGTTGCAAGCATATGTTTCAAGTGTTTTTCAGCTGTTTCATATGTATGTTTGGAAATGTTTCATCTGGATGTTGCATATGTTGTAATGGGTTCCAAATGTTTTTCAGGTGTTTTTTGCAAGTGTTTCATACGCTCGTTTTAAGTGTTTTATCTGTCTTCTTTTTTTATGTTGTAACTATTACATCTGAATGTTTTAAAAGTAGATCGGGTGTTGCACATGGGATGCGCGTGGGAAGCTGCCGGTGGCATGGGCGATGTCTGAGGTGGCGTGGGCAATAGCCCGGGCGGTGTAGGGCCACTGCTGGTGCACTCTCTCGTGAGCCCGATGCACTAGGCGTTTGTGTCGCTCCTTGTGAGAGCAGCATCCGGACGCTAGCTCCTGAATCAGACGTGGGGGCGCTAGCAAGTCCTGTGGCTTTACGTAGTAGTTGCACTGTGAGAGAACATGACGATTGAAGTTTGAACCCGTCGAAACTTCACTTTTTGAATTTTGGATACATTTAGACTATACTACCTCCGTCCCGTTAACAATGCAATTCTTGGTTCTTTTTTGGTTTTCGTGCCCAAAGTTTGACCGAATATATAGATAAAAATATTAATATTTGTGACACTAAATAAATGTATTATAAAAATATCTCTCATGACAAATCTAATGATGCTAATTTTGGGCTTGTTCGCTGGTCTGGACGAGTTCAGCCAGCCGGCTGGTCCCCTCACGCGTTACTGTTTATCAAACCAGCCGAACAGTGTTTTCTCTCACAACAAACCAGCCGGAACAGTATTTTTCAACCAAATTTTATACCAGCGAACGGAGCCTTTATGTTATAACTATTTATATTTTTATATATATAATTGATCAACTTCACAAGCTAAAACGTCGCATCGTGTTAGAATTGTATTTTTTTCGCGGACGGAGGGAGTAACAGACTCAAGAGCTTTCGTGCCAACTCGCCAATGCCGTGGCCAGTTGGATTGACGCGGGCACATCAAGTCACGTCGTCACACCAGTGCCTCTGCCGTGTGGAGCATCACGTTCTCGTTCTCCACACCGCCCTCCGCGCGCAGGGTTCGTGCGCGGCACGCGCATTTCCATCCATTCCACGAGACCGCACGCGAGAGAGAACCGGCGCCGAAAATCGCAGCCCCGCGACGCCGATCGATCGAGTCATCCCCGACGCGACGCGACGCGCGCGGCGCGCCGTGGCCGTGGATCCCCACCACGCACCCGCTTTGTGCGCGTGCACCGCATGATCATGCATGTCGACCGGGCCCGCCTCGCGTGCTATCCAGAACATGCAGCGGCGGGTTTCTCGCCGAGCTCGCCGCTTTGGCTTGGGCCGCCACAGCGGACGAGACGACTTTTCGCGTGCACGGCATGCTGCAGCCACACGCAATGACCCATCCGGCCGTCCCTCCGATCGATGATTGGACGCACATGGTACCGTACCCCATCTCGGCCTCATTTTCTACGTATACATGATAGTAACACGAGACCAGCCAAAGCCCATGCTCCGGATAAGGTGTGGATACGTACCATATGTGAAAATGATACACGTATCTAAAAGAAACTAAGACGAGTTAATGAAATGAAGAGAGCACTAAATAAAGAAGAAAGAGAGGGGAAAACTAAAAGATATATTATATCAGGGACCTTGACTCCCATAAAAAGAACGTTGGGATAATTTGTCGTAATTTATGGACACAACTCTTAACTATTTTCTCAGTTTCTCCGATCAAAATTGTAAATTTGTTCTGGTTTTGTAGGCATATAGTTTTACTATATGTATCTACACATCATTTATATCTAAATATATAGCAAGAGATATGAATCTAAAAATATCAAAACAATCTACAATTTGAAATGAAGAGAATGTCTTTTGAGGAAGAAAACAATATCAAGGGGCGACCCCTCTTGTTTCTTTCAAAAAAAAAACAATATCAAAGTGTGGCTTTGTACTTTTCGTTTTCTATTGGAGTGTATGCTCCAAATTAAAAGATAAGTTTCAAGTATATGGGTCACAAAAACTCTAGTACAATGCTAATACCATGAAAGTTTGCGGTCGGATATCTTTTTTAGATTTACATAGTGTCGGATACCAAAAAATGGGGTACCCCAAGCAAAGATTGAAAAACTGCTTAGACCCTAAAAATAGAACCAACGGAATAAACAAACGAGGTCTCGGCCGAAATCTCCGATTCGCCCGAGACCCCGTCGCCGAGCCCCAGCGGAAGCAAACGATTCTCCGACTCGCCCGAGACTGCCTCGCCGAGGCCTCCGCGTCGAGGCCCCCTCGTCGAGGCCCCATCGCCGAGGCTCCCTCGCCCGAGGCCTCAGAAGAAGTGCCGATTCTCTGATTCGTGCGAGGCCGGCTCGGCACCAACCCCGTGACCGTCTTTTTGACCAAACCGCTCTGACCGAACGTCGCATCCAAGCGCCCAACCACTCCGACAGACGCACGATGGCACAATACAGCGAAGTGACCGACTACACGCCAGTCGCGTCAACCTCCTGCCATTTGCGACGGCACAGAGTAGGGGTTACCGACCACTGTGCTGCCTAAACTCCTGCACCAAGAACATCGCAACGTGGGGAGTCAGAGCGGGTTCCTGTAGCCTCGGAATCAGTGGACCGACCGCTCCGTCTCGCCCGAGCCCCCTCGACGGGGCCTCAGATTCACTGATCTTACTCCGCCTCGCCCGTCCACCGCCCAGGACCCCCCGGTAGGGCCTCGGACGAATTGGCCACGCTCCGCCTCGCCCGACGCCGGGCTCGTCCCGCAACCTCGTCGCCTCCGCCTCAAAAGTCTCTCTGACAGGCTGTCGCATTCGATTAATGCGCTCAGCTGCACCCGCTATGTAAGCCACGATCGGCAGTGCGCTGCAACAGGAGCGACGGGACAACGGTCAGATCACCTTTTCTACCATCCCTTACTGACAAATACAGGTACCGTATCCTGTAGGCGCACGTCTCGCTTTATTCCGCCTGATGGCTGCTGAGACCCGCATCTGCACCTGGGTCACTTCTCAGGCCTCAGCACGGCAGGCCTCGGCACAACAGGACTCAGCACGACAGGCCTTGGCACGACAGGCTACGATGGCCGCCGAGCCTCTGCGATCCACCAAGTCAACAAATGCGTAGCATGTTACTTGCAGTGGAGACCATACCGATTAGACATCTACAGGAACTCCCACGACAACGCCATGCTGCTCTAGGAGTAGATACGTCATCGAATAGTCCTTACTCCACGTATAGCTCTCTTATGTACTCCTGGTTTCCTCCCTGCGGCTATAAAAGGAGGGAGCCAGGACCGTTTCTATGGACGACGGATAGAATCACGAATACTCGCACGAACTACACGCCTCACTCTGTAATTCATAGCACCTCCCCTCACAGAGACCTGGGACGAACTCCCTCTCTCGCCTAGCTTGTAACCCCCTACTACGAGCACCCCGGTGCAAGGAATACAAGAACATCTTCTCAGACTGGATGTAGGGCATCCATTGCCCGAACCAGTATAAACCTTGTGTCTCTTTGCATCTCCATCCGGAATTGGAAGCACGCAACACAAATTCACTAGTCGGTTAAGGATCCCGGTTCCGAAACACCGACAGTTGGCGCGCCAGGTAGGGGACTCTACGTGTCAGCTTAGTCATCCCACCAGATTCCGGATGGCAGATCCCGTACGATCATTGCGTCTCGGGACGATCGTCTGGTTCGGGAGCCTAGAATTCATGTCTCTAGGGCACGAGTA